ATAATAATATAAATATATATAGTAAATTAACCTAGGTTTTCCTGTATCCAGTGCCCTCTGTGACTTCTTGCTCATTTCTTCAGTTAACGTTGTGCCAATGCTGCATCTTAAGCAAGTACTGCATAAGGAATGGTTGATGCAGCAAGAGGCATAATGACCTTTCAACTTTCTGCAAGAGTACCTTTGGAAGACAATCAGTTGGTAGAAGAGATGGCTGGTGTCTGTACAGTTATTTCGGTCTTCTTTAGATCTTTATATATGGCATCAAGGTCCGCAAAGCAGATCTTAATCTAAATGCACAAGAAATTAAGTAATGTTCGTATTAGTTGGACATGGCAGTAAAACATTGGACTGTTCACAGGCTGACATTCTTATAAACTGCTGCTTAGAAGTAGGGAGGACATAACAAGAGGTGCTGCACTTTCAACTGGTGCTGTTTCCATTAAGATCTATGGCAGTGGCGGCGAACCTTGGCACGCCAGCTGTTTTGCAACTACAAGTCCCATGAGGCATTGCAAGGCTCTGACAGCCACATACAGAGGCAGATGCATGTTGGGATTTGTAGTTTTGGCACAGCTGGAGTGCCAAGGTTCGCCACCACTGATCTATGGCAATAAATGACATTATTGCCAGAATAATTTGTTCCATGCAAAATGTATACTTTTTTACCATTTTGTGGATATTTAGAGTCTTCAATTTTAGGTGAACATGCTCTGTCATAAGAATAAAGCACCCCCTATGACTACTGCAACATTAAATCAGTGGAAAAGACTAATAATGTCAGACATACAGCATTTTTTGTAAGATGACTGTTACCTTAGTTGACACATGTAGAATGACAAAACTCTTGTGCAACTCCTAACCCAGCCATTCTCAACCGGGGTGCAGCGACACTCTGGCTTCCTCAGTGGTGCCTCAAAAATTTGTGGTAGTGGGACTATGATGTGAAGGGAGAATAAAGACTGAGGTGAAGGGGGCTCCTGATGTGAAAAGGGGGGGGGGGAATCTTGATTTGAAGAGGGCAACCCAGTTTGTGTGTTTTTGCATGGTGTCCCCCTTAAAATCTATGACATTTTGGACTGGGGTCCCTCAAGAATTTGCTACTTTTAAAGGGTGCTCTAATCTGTAGTAATATTGCAGACTACCTAATAAATATAGAGATGATTCTCAGATTTGAAAATAATGCCAATACCTTTTTAGAAGTTTAATTGCAACAAAGCTTAGACTTACTGGTTGCCAACTCTGTTAGTGTGTCCAGTCTCAGGATCGCATTGCTATTTCCTTAGTCACTGCTGGGTCTCCATTACTTTGGGCCCAGGGTCTGTACCAAATCTGGTTGGGTTAACAGTATTTGGGGTTTGGGAGGTATTTGTATTGTAGCTCAAAAATGATGAATTCACATTTCAGAATTCCATTCACGTTTAAGAAGCTGCCCTGGAGCTGTTATTTATATCTTTCCTTCACCGCTTAGTAAGTTGCTGACCTGGACACCTAATATACACAAGCTTTTTGGGTCACTGAAGGTCAGTAACTCACCAAGTAGCGAAGGAAGTATACATCTCCCATGTTTTTCTTCTTATAGATTTCAGCATTAGGCGCATGGGTTAGATTGTGGTTTAGGTTTACATTTAGCAGTTAAATGCAGAACAGAAGAAAACCTAAAAAAAATTGTAGTATTCATTTTTGTCGACTAAGAACATTTTTTGTAGTTGAAATGAATACATCCAACACAGGGCCAAATAACCCAAAAATACAACATTCAACAAAATCCGTTCTGTTCATGACAGAATTTAACTTTCAAGTTTGTAGACAGGCCAGGAAGTGTGTTATGTGGAGCATTACCTTTTCAAGCTGTGATTCTGTGTCTTCAATGGATACATCAGACTTGATATGCATTTGCTTAGTGATGGTTTGGGAGAGATTCAGAGTTGCCATTCTGATTCGACCCAAGCGTAATGTATTCTCAGCTGCAGTATTTTGAATTTGTGCCCATCGAGACTCCTGAAGAAGGTTTCAGAGAACATTTATTGTCCTACTAAATCTAAACATTTTGAGTGCAATAAAAGAAACTTACATCCAGTAGTCAGTACATTTTGAATGAACCCCCGTGATAGTGTTTGCTTTCACCCAGCATATTTATTTCTCTCTCATCCTTTGAATAACACCGGAGTCCTGAAACCTTCAGGTTTACTACCTACAAGAGACTTGGCAAAAAACAAACAAACTGTAAGCCAGGGCTGGGTACACCTCTCCTACTACCAACATGCCTCCGGTTTTTGCAGTGTCCTGATTCAAAACGTAACCTGTCTTTCCGCAACATCACCCTGTATCTGCAGGTGGTCCCCCACCTTCTTCACAGATATTCAGCCAATTTGTCCCCAACCCTGGTTTCTGGGCCTACGATGTGACTAGACCCCAATGAACATTACAGGGTGAACCTGGATGTCACCTTTATGCACTGGGATCTGCTTGAGAGCTTTCCAGACTGTTTTGAGTTATGTTAGCTGTAGAGCGTTTTGTAGGTCCAGAGCCACTGGAATTGACATGTGCTTACCCTGTCCCTGAAGACTTACTCTTGTGAGTAGGCCATTCAGGCTGAGCACTGGAAGTTTTCTCATTTTTATTAGTTGTTGAGTGCCAAATTTTATTCCCCATTTCTAGCTGCCTTGCCATGGCAGGGGTTAACGGTGTGGGACAGATCCCTGTCATTCCATGGGGTGAAGTGTTGCACACATGCATTCTGCACTCTCTCACTAGTCAGCATTGAGGAAGCATCACCCCACTGCTGCTCCTGCTAGAAGCATGTGGAACTTTGCTCTTTTTCTGCTGCTCAGTTGCAGTGACACCTAGTCACTTCCGGCCATGTGCTTTTCTGCTAGATACCAACTGCCAAGGTTCCATGCATCTTGGATGTTCACCAATGTGCTGGTTCCAGTGTTGGCCCTCTTACGCCCTTGAGATAGCCTAATAGTCAGCTACTTGGATGACCACCTCTTGAGGGAACAGTCAGCCAAGGCTCTAGAGGAAAATGGGGGGAATGTATCAAAACTGGAGCAGGCAGAATCTGGAGCAGTTGATTATGGCAACCAATCAGCTTCTCTTTAGTCTGATCAGTTAAGCTTTGAAAATGAAAGATAGAAGCTGATCAGTTGCCTTGGACAACTGTTCCAGATGCTGTCTGCTCCTTATTTGATAAATTCCCCTCAATGGGTCTTTGAAGCTCATCTAAACCTCTGTGATACCTGAACACTCAGAGTCCTAGAAGTCGCTGCTTGTGCCAACCGATCCCTTGGAGAATCTGGGGCTGGTTAAGGACACTTACTGGACTAGAGTGCTCCTTTCCTTCCCCAGAGAAACGTCAGACTCTGCAGTCTGAAGTTTGTGTGCTCTAGTTCAGGAGCTGACTGATTCTCCACTTCTGCATGAGCGTTTCGGGGCTGATGGTTCAGACATGATGGTAGTCAACTTTAAGGCAGTTCCATGTGCCCAGTTACATTGCAGGAATGTGCAGTGTGACAGTCTATCATTGTAGGACTTATAAAAAATGATTCACTGAACAGCAAGGACCACTCTGTCTTGGTCATGGGGCTCTGATGTTGGGCAAGTCATTCTTTCTCAAGTTCTAGAAGATCCTGACAACAGACATTAGCCAGTCGGTCTTGGAGGGAATCCTGGGCACTCTATTGGTGCAGGGGATTTGGTCACTGGGGTAATCTTGGCTCCCAATCAACATCTCGGAGCTTCAGGCAATTTGGCTGTCCCTTCAGCATTGAAGTATCACCCAATCCGGGCCCAGTGGGCCAAGTTCACGGTGGTGGCATACATCAATTAGCAGGGAGACACAAGAAGTCTCTCTTTGGCAAATTAGGTAGAGCAAATCCTGCATTGGGCAAAACATTATGTGCATGCTCTGTCAGCCATATACATTCCAGGAGTGGATAATTAGCAGGCAGATTTTCTCATTTGGTGTTTGGACCTGTGAGATTGGTCTCTACACCTAGAGGTGTTCCAAGATCCCTGTTGCAGGTGGGTGACACTGGTTGTGGACCTCTTGGCCTCTAGATTCAAAAACAAACTGGATGGGTTTATATCCAGGACCGAGGATCCATTTGCAGAAGCAGTGGATGTACTAGTGGCTCTGTGGGATCAATACAACCTGATCTATGCTTTACCTTCCCTGAAGCTTCATCCTTCACTGCTCCGCAGCATTGAGACAAAGAGCATTCCAGTGGATCTCAGAGACCTGGATTTAGCCAGGAGAGTGTGGTAAGCTGATCTGGTAAGATGGAATCTGCCAGATTGTCCAGATCTGCTGTCCTAAGGACCAATTTTACAGCATGCTTCCCTGTCGCTGGCATTAATGGCATAGCTGTTGGAAAGTCTCTTCCGTCAATGCTCAAGGCTAGAAAGTCTACTTCCCACAAGGTCCACCATAGGACATGGAAGGCGTACCTTGCTTTGTGTGAGTCCACAGGCTTGGACCCCATCAGTTTTTCTGTGGGGTGGATCGTTTCTTTCCTGCAGTGGAGTCTGGACCAACATTTGGCTTTTTTTTACCATCAAGGGCCAGATTTCTGCACTGGCTATTCTGTTGCAGAGACCGTCGGCTTCCCACTCTCTGATCAAGACTTTTCTGCAGAGGGTTTCCAATGTGGCTCCCCTAGTCGACACCCCTCTGCCTCCATGAGATTTGAGCCTGGTCCTCTCCGCACTTCAGAAGCTTCTCCATTGTGACCCATAAAAGTTAGTTTTCCTTTTAGTTGTTACCTTGGCTAGGCAGGTGTCTGAACTGGTAAGATGGTCTTGCAAGAAACTCTTTTTGGTCCTTGATAAGGACCTTCCTTCCTTCATTCCTATGCCTTCCTTCATCCTTAAGATGGTGTCTGCCTTTTAACTTAACCAAGACATTATATCCTTTTGTCCAGCTCCAGTTCACCAGAAGTAGATTTCTCTTCATTGTCTGTATGTGGTTTGGGCTCTGTAAACTTTTCACTTGATTATGGCTTCTTTTTGGAAGGCAGACAGACATCAGGCCTCTGTTTCCCAGGGTTTTAAGACTGCCCCTTGTTCTTCTTTTTAAACTTTAGGTGTCTCCCTTGTTCTTGTCCCAATGGCCTGTTAGCCATTTTTTGGCTGTGTTGCTCACACCCAATTAAGCTGCTTTTGAACATTCTGAAAATGTCACAGTTCATGTGTCCTCCAATTGACCAGAGAGAAAATTGGATTTCTGTACCAAAATATTTTTCTCAGAGTCCATTGAGGTACATAGGCCCTGCCCATTTGTGTTTCTAAACATGCTCATGGTAGGAGTGGGTATAGCCAGGGCTGACCTGCAGTTTTCTTTTTGTTTTCCAGTGTCTAATCCTTTTGTAAGCAGCAGTATAACCCAAAGTTTCCAGAATTCCTGTGTCTCTCAATGGAAATGAAAAAAGGATCTTAGGGTTAGTACAAAAATGCTATTATTTTACTTTTTGTACAATACATACCCTCTGATGTGCTGGTTGCTTATCCTACACATACACTGACAGACACCCCCTCCGCCAACCCCACAAGAGCACCCCCTACACCCCCGGGATGTCCATACACGAACAGCGCAACCCCCCTCCCGTTTCAGAAGGCAAATAGTGTAAGGACAGCCCAGCATATTATAGATTCTTTAGCCTTCTGATCTATGTTACAGACTTTCCTACCCATACACCAGGAGGCTGTTAGGAAATATCTAAGAAATATTTATTTTAAGTGGCAGTCTTTTGTAGCATGTCATGATTCTACCAGTGCAAAGCTAGGAGCAATCATACCCATTCCAGCACTACAGCTCTTGCGCTCTCCAGCTGTCCTTGTAGATCAGCCAACTGGTTATTGAGCTCTAGGATCTGGCTGCGAGCCTCCTCCTGGTAATGTAGCAGTCGTGCCTTTTCTTTTTCGGTTTTCTCCTGATGCTTAAACTCTCTTTTCAGCAACTTGTCCTGTGTGGTCATTAGGGTGTTGAATCTGTCTATCATCTCCTGTACCTCTTGGAACTAGAGAGAGAGCAAGAGAGATACCAAAGAACGGGTCCAAAACAAAAAAAACACTTATGGTGTCCCCCACAATTCCTATTTGTGATCACAGACAAAATCAGCTGACACCTTTAAAATTAAAGTGTCCAGCAAAATGCATAAGCCACTCAAAGAAAAGAAAAAAAGCCTTTCATTTTGAAAAATAAGCATTAATCTTAAACACAAGTCATCTGGTAGAGAACCTTTTGATGAGCACTTACATCCTTGGAGTGATTACAATTTGGGTATGACTTCTTAATTGGAATATTCATGTTAATCTGTATGGTAATGTTGCTTCCCCAAGGGCTGCCTTCGAAGAGCTACATCACAATGCTTACCAGAAGTATCAACTAGGTGACATTTCATAAATCTGTATACTATAGAGTCAGCAGGACTGAAACCATGAGCCCTTTTCATTCACACATCAGAGGGACAGAAATGATGTCCTGCTACTACATGAATGTAGAGAAAGGCCAGAAGTGTCACTGTCTTTGCACACATGGTGTAATGGAGTTTAATGAGCAGTATAACTAGATAAAATAAAGATATTGCCTGGTCCTGTCCAAGTAGTTGGTTCATCCTAAACATAATATTAGAACATGCAAACATGGCATCCGTACCTCCTCAGTCCTCTCCAGTACTCTCTGGAGGTAGTTTTGGTATATTCTGGTCTTCTCTTGTCTACGCAGCAGTCTCTCCTTACATGCTTGCAGCTGCTTGTTTTCAGCCTGTAAGCGCATGGCTTCCCGCTCTTTCTGAACTGCCAGCTGTCGCTCCTCAGCTGCTTTTCGAAGTGCACGTTTACGCTTTGAATCATTTTCCTGCAGAAAATCAAATTGTGTGTTATTATAATTTATAGCACAAGCCTCCTTTTTATAACATGTCACTTTATGTGCAATATCAATGGCGGCGCACATCACTGAAAATCCCATAACTCTCTCATTTTCCAGGTACAGTAATTGACCCTTGCAACAGTCCTCTGCAACACCTCTAACTGGACGAAAATACACCGGTCCTTCATTCCAACATTACTGATTGCTTAAAAATTGTGAATTCTTACAGAATGTTCATTACCTAACCCCCTGATAACCGCAGTAAATATTTCCATCTTCTAGAATGTAGATTCAAATTCAAATAAATGTATAACTAGCAGTACAGTAAAAAAAAAAAATATATAAATATACACACACACACACACCTATAGATATATCATTTCAGTTTTTGAATGTACTGGGTTTACTTTTCAAGCCATATTTGAAATCCTTTTTTGTTAGAAACAAACGCACACAATTTTTTACCTTGGCATGTTGGGTGTCTATGTACTTGTTGTAGCCTCATCTTTTATATTTTACAAAAAAATGGGTATTATATTGTGTTTTGGAGCACTGCCTCCATTTTATTCTACAGGGTGTTGGCTTTCAGAAAATATATAATGTTTGGGGGTTTGAAGTAATATTCACGCCTAAAATGTGGATTATGTCATGTGTGCAAAAACAAAAAAAGGCCTTGGCAGCGAAAGGGTCCTTAAGGGGATAAAAGGTTCACTTTTCTATTCTGAAATTATTACTCCGATACATAAAAATACTACCAACAACAATACAACACTATCATCATGATATATCAGTCTCCAACTGGTTGCTACTGACCAATATTGACAAGGAACCTAAACTTTACCTTGAGAAACTTATCAAATTTAAACAATGAATCCTTAAGTTTGTCCTCCTTGTGCTCCAACTCTGTACGACGCTGCTGAAGGCTCTCTGTCTTCATTTGGAATTCCTGTAATAAAGTGAAGCAGTAAACTAGTAGAAGTACTTCTATGTACAAATAAAAAAATGTTGCACTGGTCAAGCACATAATTGCCAGACCATTGGCTGCCCCTGTGGCCCTCCATTATACACTCTGCTAAGGCTTAAGGATGTCCACCATTGGCCTATAACCTATTTTTTATGATCTGAGGCTCAAATATGGCTGTGCCTTATGCTCACAAAACAGCGAGTGGATCTTCCAAAATAAAAGCTATAACCCCGGATAAAAAAAAAGGAAGTATTACAATACAGTGGTGTAAGAAAAAACAATAAAGATTTTGGCATCACCTCTTTCTCTGTATTTAAAGCTTGTTCAACTTCAATCATCTCTCGCTTCTTTTCTAGAAGACGTGTCGCTGGAGTTAGGAAATCATCTTCCCGATCTGGCATTCGCCTGTTATAAATAGTAAAGTAAATCTTGACTTTAGTGACTGTTCTAACTGGTACATTTCTAAATAGATAAGCAGGAGTCACGTTCAAATGAAAAACCATTTCTGAGTGATTATATTTCTATTCCTGCCAGTCTACAATATGAAAAGTGAGCCTTTCCTAAACTTGGGAAAGAAAAGCAGCACGAGCAGATGATAGCACAGGTCAAAATGATCAGTAGATCCAGAAATCTCTTTAAAGCCTCTCCACTGCTCAGAGCAGGGGCGTCACAAGGGGGGTGCGGCCCGCACCCAGGTGACACCATTGGAGGGGTGACCGCAAAATGACTGACAGTCATTTTGGTGTCACCCCCTCTGAAAAGTGGGGCACCTGGTCATGGACCGAGAGACTGACAGTTGTTCGAGAGAGGAGGGGACCCGACGGCATACATTATCCTGCCGGGTGAACGTCCCCTCCTCTCTGGCAGGTAACAGCAGTACAGCGCCAACGTCATCACACACGTGCGCGATGACGTCACTGCGGGGTGTCACTCGGTACCCGCACCGGGTGTCACCCCGCCTCGGGACGTCTCTGGGTCAGAGAGACTGTCCGTGACAATAAAAGAGCAATATGGGCCTGCTTATCATTTTGACATGCAACCTTCACTAAAAGTAACCTTTGCTGAGATAATTCTGCTTCCTATATGGAGTATAAATGACCCAGGTTTGACTTTATGATTAGCATCATACATAATCATACATGTTGACTTTTATAGTGTATTGATCATCAAGTTTACGCAAAATTGAATCTGTGGGTTACAAAATGGTCCTTTGGCATTGTTCCCACCAGATGACAAACAGCTTCCCTTCTGAATATATAATAAGCACATTTCTAAAGACATATGTGCATGTTTAACAGGCAAATCCACTTTTACAACACGGTCTACTGATAGCCAGAATGACTCTGCATTATTCATGTAATCGCCTGTACCTAATTAGTTTCCTTTCCTTCTTTCAGGGTTCATCATTTTATTTTGTCCTGGTCCACCCATGTCTTCAAGTTTGGCTAATTCCTAGAGGCAGTATGCATGCTTATGGAACTCCTGTGTAGACACACAGAACTGCTACCAAAATTAACTTAATATGGACTTGACATCAGATATAATTATCCATGTTAAGCGATACTCAGGTATTTATGACCTCTCGGAGAGCTTCCAGTAATCCTCCTGACAATGCCTTCATCTTTTCTCTCTAGAAGGACGGAACCATCTTTGTTCAGCCATTAATCAAGATCATCATCTACAGTACTTCCTAGACTTAAGGCCCCATTCACACCTAGGCGTATTGTAATATGCGCGTCTGTCGCGCGACCGTCACGCGTTTTTTTTGCCGCGATTCGCGGTAAAAAAGTCACGCGACCGTCGCACAATTCCAAAGGCTACTTGGCAGTATCCAAATGGAAAACGCCCTACAAAACGGCCCAAAGTAGTCCCGGGACCTTTTCAGGCGTGAGCCGTTTTGTAGGCCGTCAGGGACGGGCGGAAATACGCCTAGGTGGGAACGAGGGCATTGACTACAATGCAATTGATATTTTTGACCGTTTTGTAGAGTGTTCGTCGAGCGTAGAACGCCCTACAAAACGGTCAGGTGTGAACGCAGTGTTAGAGATGACACAACAATGTAAATTCTGATGCCTGCTCAGTTTGTGGCGGTGTTGAACACAGTTGAGTACTGTCCGTGAAATTTTATTCAAGCTTATACTGAAATTTTCAGGACAAGCTTTTGGGGGCTCTACCCCCTTCTTTTTCATACAAGGAGAAGTGATACACGTAGGCTTATCACAATGTCAAGAGAAAAAAATCTGCTAAAACAATCTCTGGGGCAAAAATGTCTGTAGCAAGTCACAAGGGTGCTTAATTGTATCAAAGTTACAATGTTGCCGTTTAATCGCTAAAGGAGAGGAGACTGAGGAAATGCTTCCTCGTGCCTGCAGCAGACTGATAGCATCATCCTAGCCAGGGCAAAGTCACTTGTCTGGATCTTAATGAAGAACGTAACCCATCCCTGTGAATTAATTCCTGTTTAAGCTCCTCTTACCTACCTGTGTGCTGGGTTGAGCTCAGACAGCTCCAATGATTCCCCACCACATGCCAGGTTCCGCACCACCACCTTGAAAAGAAATCGAGTGCATATGCAGACCACAGTGGTATTCCCATGGCAGTCTGTGCATGCACAGACACAAAGTGGGTCTCTGTCAGGGACCTGCAATACACCCACAGTGTCTCAACATGCACAAGATCTTGCAAACTGCCTCCTGGAATGTGTGATGTAGACATCCCAGGAGGCAATGGGGCCGTGGGCCCTTATCCTGGCCTAGTTAAGAATTTAAAGCCATAAAATGGTATTTTCTGTTTCTAATAAAAATGTCCCTGCAATTGTGTAATAGGGAGGGGGAGGAGGCAGGTGAGAAGACATTGTTTAACCACTTGATCACCAAGGTGTTAAACCCCCTTCCTGTCCAGGCCATTTTTTTTCAGTATTCAGCACTGTTGTACTTTGACAATAATTCAGCCATGCAACGCTGTACCAAAATACATTTTATATAATTTTTTGGGGACAGATAGAGCTTTCTTTTGGTTTTCTCCTCTCACAAGAACAGCGTGTGAGAGATGAGGGGAGAAACAACAAAAAGTTTTCCCACCACATTCGCCAAACCAGCATGCAAAAAAACTTGTCTCACCGCCAAGGTTAAAAACAGAGGTTTAGAACCTCCCTTAAAGGCACAGAGACGCACAAGGGATCCCGCACATCACAAGGCAGCTGAGACTCCCCATGCATCACTGCACCAAATCAGTCAAGCAAAACAAATGGCAAATGCACTCATCAATTTGTTACCAGCTTTACAGCAAGGTGCACATGGAAGGGCCTAATACAGTACAAACAGCAAAAAGTTTTCCCAGCACACTCGCCAGCCAGCATGCAAATAAACTTGTCTCAACGCTAAGAGATGAGGGGAGATAGCTGGAAACTGCTACAATGTTTCCATTTAGTGATCTGCTGTGATTGGTCACATCGATCACACAGAACAGAGCCAATTTCGCTGTCTCTGCACAAAAGTTGTTTAAACTACACTGTCCAATGGACATTGTGTTTAAAGTTACTTGCTTGCTCACGCTAGGGGACATGCTGGAGACGGGGGGAAAAAAAAAAAAGACATACGTGACCCAACAGCCGTCCGACCGTGCAGCAACAGGTTAAATGGGTGAAGGTCAACCTTAAGGACTACTTTTAAATAATAAAAGGTGAAGTTTTTCTAAAAAAGTTACTCAAAAGGTCCACTTTAAGATACCCAGCCTTTCACACAAAAGACAGCATGGTGCAGGTCAAAACAACATCAGAAGAGAAGCACATAGTGAATTGTTTTTTTTTTTTTACATAATCCTGCATTGGATACTTCAGAAAATCATGTATACCAGTATTACAAGTATGTCATTTAAAAAAGACCCATAAGGATAGAAATATGGGAACTGCCATTGCTGACTTGTTTTTTTTTAATGGTACAGGCTCTAGATCTGTCATTTGAGTGCTGGCTTCACCATCTAGAGCAGGGGTGCCCACAAGGTCGATCGCGATCTACCAATCGATCGCTAAGCCCATTTGTGCGTGGCCGAGCGGCAGAGGATCGGTACATGTCAGTAGTATGTACCAATCCTCTGTGCAGCAGGACAAACACTGGAGCGATCGTCTGATCACTCCAGTGTTTGTAAATAACTGGGGACACATAGTACTATGTGTGCCCAGTTATAAAGGAATGAACAGGATGTGATTTACATCACGTCCCTTCATTCATGAGTTTCTCAATGGGGAGAAGCACTCTGTACAGAGGCTCCTCCCCATTCAGAAACAGCTTGATAGTAAAATATTTTCTGAATGAATGGGAAGCCTCTGTGATTTCCATTTATTTAGAATAGAGGCTGCAGAAAAAAAGATTGAGGACTATGTGTCCTCAATTTCTTTTTCTATTTTAAAAGGGAAATATCAGGGGGCTTTTTAGACCCCTAATATTTCCCCAAAGGCCCCCCAAAGGTAAAAAAAAAATAAAAATAAATAATGAAAATAAAATAAAAAAATAGGGGGTGTGGAGCTGTATTGAAGTCAATGGCATCGCCCACATTGCGATCGCCCGCACTCGGAACGCAGGCACATTAGTGCCTGCATTCCGGTATAGTGCGATCTGCAAAAATAGTGCTCGCAGCATTTTTGCGGATCGCACTGGGCTGGAACACAGGCACTAATGCAGGCGATCACACTGTGGGCGAGGGGCCTGCCTGCGGAGCCTGGCTGCGGTGCCATTGACTTCAATGCACCGCCACGCCCCCTCCCGCCCCTGAATGCAGGTGTTTTTTCGTTGGTAGATCTCAATGAGCTCGTCATTTGAAAAGTAGATCTCCAGACGAAAAATAGTGGGCGCCCCTGATCTAGAGAGTAACAAATAACTAAGGTTAGGCCTGGACAAGGAGAGGTCTCCCTTACAATTATTAGAAGGGAGTCATATTCCTGACCTCTCAAATACCAGAGCCTGCAGCATTATAGCTAGTAATCTAGGGGATGGAGAGCAGCAGTGCACACTTGGTCTAAGGCCCCCATTCACACATTTACAGAAGTTGCTCAGTGAGACTCATGTGAACAGCTTCAGGTGGGAAGCTCTATACAAAACAATGGCAGCGGACAGCGCCCATAGCTGTACACGGCTATTTGCAATGTAATTGGACATGCAGAGATTACCTGCAGACAATCGCCCCTGGCTCAAAACAGTTTGTGTCCAAGGGTAATCATCCGCAGGTAATCGCAGCATGTCTGATAAAATGCACATGGCCACGAACGCTATGGGCGCTGTCAGCTGTCATTGTTGGGCATGAGTCTCACTGAACAATTTGCAAAACTGACGTAAATGTAAGTGTGAATAAGGCCCATTCTGGTGGCTGCAGAGAAAGTTTACAGGTTGGAAAACATAAGCTGTGATAATGAGCACTTCAGATGCCTCCTACTGTCATCCCTAAATTACCACTGCTCACCACATCAGGCCATTTAATTGGGAAGGGACCCAGGCATTCTTAGATTGCCTAAACTTATAGAAGAAGAACTCCGGAAGGGGAAAAAAAATAAAAAATCACTAGGGATCCCAGAATAGTGATTGATTCCTGACTGCAGGTAATCCAGTTACATACAATCACATGCAGTGCGTCAACGTTCTTCTGTTTTCAAATGCGGCTGCTGTCACCCAATAAATAACTTGAATGGGTGACAGCTGCCACTAGCAAACAGTTGATTTGGGATTCCTCCTGTTGGAAATTGCAAGTTCCTAACGCAGGAATCCCTAAACACACCTAGGTGTAAATGAGGCTTTATTACTCAGTAAAAGATAAGCCAGGACACCGGGAAGCAGACAGACAGAGGGAAAAGCCAGGACACTGGGACAAGCCAGGACACCGGGAGAGCAGACAGACAGAGGGACAAGCCAGGACACCGGGGGAATCAGACAGACAGAGGGAAAAGCCAGGACACCGGGGGAATCAGACAGACAGAGGGACAAGCCAGGACACCTGGGAGCAGACAGACAGACTGAGGGACAAGTCAGGACACAGGGAGAGCAGACAGAGGGACAAATCAGGACACTGGATCATAATGACAGAGGGCAAAGCCCAGGCACCAGGAGAGCAGACAGACAGAGGGACAATCCAGGACACCTGGAGAGCAGACAGATAGAAGGGACAAGTCAGGACACAGGGAGAGCAGACAGACAGAGGGACAAACCAGGACACAGTGGATCATAATGACAGGGGTGCAAGCCCAGACACCGGGAGAGCAGACAGACAGAGGGACAAGCCTGGACATCGGGGGAATCAGACAGACAGAGGGAAAAGCCAGGACACCGGGGGAATCAGACAGACAGAGGGACAAGCCAGGACACCTGGGTACAGACAGGAAACTGCCGATCTTGGTCTGTGCTCACACTAGCAGCTTGTCCTCGAAGGCCGCCCGGAAATATTCCCGCAGCTCGAACTCCATGATGATGGTTTAAAGTACAGAGCTGCTCCGGCGCTGAGCGTGCTCTCGTTACCCTGGAAACGTCATGTCCCGCCCCCTTTCTAGGTCAAAGGAGGAGACGGACAAGCTAGATATTTTTATATTGGGTATCCAGACATGTGTTGGCCGAGAAATTATTGTATTATCTGCGGTAGTTAAACCGTGATATATGTTCTCACGTCCCCTCCCGTCCAGTACTCATTACAAAGGAAAAGGCAGTGGCATAAATCTGCCAAAATGCACTCTCTAGCCCCGCCCATTCACCATATGATAATTTGTTGTCCCTCCCCCAAGAAAACGCTTGAAGCGTGACCTCTGACCTTCTCCTTGGTGTGCCCAAGTCGGCTTCACATTGCTCACATCTCGATCTACATGTGCCTTAAACTATTTTGGCATTCTTCTGAATTCATTTCAAAGATAAAGGCAATATGGTCATCACAAAGTCGACATTAACACCCTGAACTGAAGACGCTGAAGTGACTCTAAACTCTGGAGTTCATCCTAAAAACGCATTTAAGTACCTTAACAAAAATGGTGTTATTTGTAAAGGTTATTTGTGGATCACTCAGCTGTAGATCCTCAAATTATCTCTGAATTGGTGCTGACACTGTCCTTCCTTCTCGAGGGTGGCTACTTTTGTCCCCATGGTCCATGTGTGTGTTGTAAAGTAGTCACCGGTCAAAGCTCACTCCTGTGATGGACTACAATCTCAATACAAATTAGTTAACTAAAAGTAAGACTGTAGTCCATCATGGGGGTGAGATTGGAGTGGTGGCTACTTTACAACACACACAGGGACCATGGGGACAAAAGTAGCCACCCTCCAGAAGGAAGGACAGTGTCAGCGCCAATTCAGAGATGATTTGAGGATCTACAGCTGAATGATCCACAAATAAGAGACATTTTTGTTAAGGTACTTAAATGCGTTTTTAGAATTAACTCCTGAGTTTCGTGTCACAATAAGCTGCCCATACACTGCTCACATTTCAACTGATTCCTGCTGAGTCAGCCAGCAATCCAAACCATGGGTGGTGAAACTGGTCTGAAAATTATCTTCCGAATAGCGCCGATGTCCAATCAGATTAAAATAGATAGAAGTAGGGAAACCAGCACTCCAGATGCAGATCAAATGCTTTTATTGGCATAAATGCAGCATATCACACTGGTGCATTTGATCTGCATCTGGAGTGGCGGTGTCCCTACTTCTATCTGTGTACATAACGGTTGCCATCCATTGACTACCACAGCACCCATCCAATTCTTATAGAACAAGCGGTCAGGAGTGCGATGGGTTCATGGACTTTCATCCAATCAGATTAAGACACTGTTTGGGTAAATAGCAGCAGCTAAATAGAATAGATGAGAGCCGGGATTCCATCCTCCGCACGCTAACGTGTATGGCCAGCTTTAGGTCCATTACAAAACTTTCTCATTTTAACCTGTAATTAGATATCAAACATGTCGAGCTTCAAAACTGCATGCACCCATGAAATAGTGGAAAAGTATTGACATCAGATTCCCCATAGACACACGTGGGGTCCGGTAATTGCAGTTTTTTCCTCCATCACAAGATGGGGGGAAAACTTTATGGACAATGATGTCACAGCGGTGACATCCTCTCCGTACTGCTGTGATCAGGAGAGAATCCGAGCACGGATTCCGTGTGAAAGAGGCCTAAGTTTAATACCACAACTTGTTACATTTGTATGGAAACAGAATATTATATTTATAAATACAAAGTTTTCTTCTGTAATATATTTGCTGTTTAGCAATTCTGACACCGATGTTACTGTATTTTTTATTTCACATCCTTGAAGTTAGACGAGCGTAGCGCCCACCTCTCCAGTGGGCCTCTACAGCCGAGTATTCCTGGGGTACCCATTCTTGCTGCATACTCTGTTGCTGTGGAAACTACTGGCAGGGTGGTAAGAGGCAAGGACGCATTCACATGCCAATTCTCTTCTATTACAAAAGAGCTGTGGGATTAGCGGAGGCAGGGAGCTGAAAAGTGCTGCTTTTAAACATCAATCCTGTAAAACCAGGAGATAAAACGATTACCTCCACCCATATACTGTCAGAGAGGCTGTAATTCTTTAAAGAGCAATCCAAAACTTCTCTGTGTTATAGATCAATAGATTAATGTACCACAAACAGAAATATTATTTCATAGAAAAAGACCAGAGGGGGTGATTATTAACAACTCACTTTTTAATCTCATTGTGTAGAAATTGACAAAAGATAAAAATAGAGCGTACTTCTACAATTGGCTGTTATAAGCAGCATGTCCAGATTTCCTTACCCCCGTTTTTTAAACATTTGACCCCAAGGGCTTGCTAAGAGAAGCATCTACCTTTTCTGACAGAAAGTTTTGATACTATAGACCTACTGTGGGAAGGCTATAGAACTTGGGTGCCTGCAAAATGTACTTTCCACGATTAGGATGATTTGCAGATTCCTCATCGCTGAGTAACAGATATGCAAACTAGGGATGCACTGATACTAGTATTGGTATAGGTGCAGAGGCGTAACTAGTGACCTCAGGGCCCCGATGCAAGAATCTCCCCATTATCTCCCTCTTCATATCCCCAGCTTTCCGCTCCCAGCCCCCACACTCTCCTCTTTCATGTCCCCAGCTTCCCCTCATCTCCCCTTCACGTCCCCAGCTTTCCGCTCCCGGACCCCACACTCTCCTCTTCCATGTCCCCTTCATAGTCCCAGCTTCCTATCTCTCCCCCTTCGTGTCCGCAGCAGGCCTCTCTTACCGATGCAGCTCTCTATTTCGGCAGTGTTCTGTGTGATGAGGGGGCGGGGATAACCCGCTTCCCACTCATTGGCTGCTGCGCTGGCTGTATCATACTTCACGCTGCGCCCGGAACAAGGTGAGGGGCGCAGCGTGAAGCACGTAGGGCCCAGGACAGGAGGAAGAGGTCCCGGTACTGATATTAGCGGTTACCGGGATATTAAATATCCTGGTAATCAGCGGTTACCAGGGGCCCCTTCCTCCTGTCCTAGGCCCCCTCCAAGTGTCAGAACTCCACCTCTGCGACCCTGGTAGTTCCGCCACTGTATAGGTGCCAATACCGAGTATTTGGGCGAGTACCCGTACTCGCCCAGATGCTTCGATACCGCCCCCGATACCAGTGCCATAGGGGAACATGGAGCCGGCTTCCTGGCAATCAGGAAGCCGGACGGCGAGTAATGACCCCCCTCCCATCTTCCTGATTGGCTGGGAAGCTAGCTCTATGCTGATTGGCCAGGAAGCCAGCTTCCCAGCCAATCAGCATTGAGCTGCTGGTACAGCCAAACAACCGGCTCCTTGCTGATTGCCCAGGAAGCCGGCTCCATGCCAGCGCAAGCACCGATATGGGTACCCTGTATCGCCGAGTACCGAAAGCACAATATCAGTACTCAAACTCAATACCGAAAAAAACGTTATCGGTCCAACCATTCAAGGAAATATATAGATTTGTTTTAAGATTTAAATCTGATAAGCTTAATGGAAGAAAACATCTCATCAATGTGGGTTGTTTATATGTATAGTATAGGTACATATGTACTGGGATGAGCAAACACTTTATAATCTAATCTAAATACAAGAAATGTGTTTTTACTTAAATGCCTCTCTTCCTGCATTAAGATCGGTCACTGCTGCCCTCTCTCCTTGTGCAGGGTGACTGGTACTTTTCTACAGGCAGTCTGCAGTGGGTGGACTTGTTCTGTCCTTCACAAAGCTCTGCTCTCTGTGCAGGCCACGTGCAGCACATTGATAATGTCATTACTACTTTTACAAATTAATTACTGGGGTTACAAAGGCATTTGGTGCACACAAAGTGAATTTAGATTCTTTGCAGCTCTTGAGAAATATATTTAAATGAAACTTTCTCTGTAAAGAGTTTAGCTTTAAAGTGACACTAAACTCAGAAGTTAAACCTTAAAAATACATTCAAGCACCTTAACTATATACAAAAATGCATCTTATTTGTGTATCACTTGGCTGTAGATCCCTCAAGCTCCTCTGAGCACCCATGATAGACTAGCTTCATTTCAAATTAGTAAACTAAATGTGATTGAAGGTCATCACAGGAGTGAGCTTGGAGCGGTGGCTACTTTAAAACACACACAGGGACCATGCGGAACAAAAGTAGCCCCCCTCCAGAAGGAAGGACAGTGTCAGCACCAATTCAGAGATGATTTGAGGATCTACAGCCCAGTGATACACAAATAAGATACATTTTTGTAAATAGTTGAGGTACTTGAATGCATTTTAAAAGGCAACTCCTGAGTTTAGTGTCACTTTAAGTGTGCAGTAGAAAGGCATCATGGCACACTCACAAGTCAGCATGTAAAAAAACTTGTCTCACCACAAAGGTCAATAACAGAGGTTTGGATACACGTCTTCTGCAGAAAATGTGAAAGCCGCACTGCCGCGCCAAGGCACCTCTTATAGTGCGGTCCTAACTCTAAACTATGAGAGTCTCCATCTTGGGGCACATGGTGGCAGACGATTTCAAATTGGGTGCAGGTTTGTCAGGAGGAAGCCCCAACTCCTTAAAGGCACAGGAACACACAAGGGATCCCGCACATCCCAATGGCAGCTGAGAAACCCCATGCGTCGCTGCACCAAATCGGTCAAGCAAAACAAATGACAAACGCACTCAACAATTCATCACCAACTATACAGCAAGGTGCACACGAAATGGGCTTAAAACAGTAGACAGTAGAAAGGCATCATGGCACACTCACAAGTCAGCATGTAAAAAAACTTGTCTCACCACAAAGTTCAATAACAGAGGTTTAGATACACGTCTTCTGCAGAAAATGTGAAAGCCGCACTGCCACGCCAAGGCACCTCTTAAGTGTGCACACTTTGTTTCCTGCTTAGCAAAGATATTCATCGATTGTGCATTGTTTCAGGGCTTTAAGACACACACACACACACACACACACATTAATGCTGCATTCATATGGGGTTGGGGATTCCTGTGGCAAGAACCTACGGATTCTTGTGGCAGGAATTGTAGGTGTGCCCA